TGCATATAGATTGCTTGTATTAGATCTGTAGAACTATGTCAGACACACTTTTTCACATAATATAATCTTCAAACGATTTACACGTTTAAAATTTTCGCACAGTCTAACATACATAGCTGAACTTAGAGTTTCGTATATGATCAATATAAAACCATTATGAAGTACATTTCTTCTGTCCATAGTATTTCGAAAAATATACAGTCGAGTAATCGATCTTTCGATTGGTTTAAGGGGGACCCCCCCCCCCCCTAAAAAAAACCATTTTTTCGAAGAAAAACCGAAATTGAGTTTTTTTCATAGGAAGATGCATTGAAGTCTCCTCTTTCAGAATATGTATGATTTTTCAAAAAACGGTCAGGTTTTGGCCGAGTTATTGGTCAAAATTGGAGCTAATATAGTATTTTCGTGATTTTTCAATTTTTTCATTCTTTTTTTTATCAATTTTTAAATATTGTCTTTCCATTCACTTCATTATTGAATGTAGCTTTTCTTATACTAACTATTAAGAGTCTACTAACACAGAAGGGTTCCCTTAGAAAAATATTTTATTCGATAAAAACTATTTTTTTCTTCTAATGCAATCTCAAAAACGAAGCCTAATCTACTCTCAGTAGTTTTTATCACTACAAACAAAAAGCAAACACAAAAAGTAAAACTAATCGTTTTAATTTTGCAAAAATAGATGTATTTTATATACAACAAGAAGATGTAAATCGCACTTCAGTATGCGCCAGCTTGATAATCTTCAACTGCATCATCATCATGATCTTCATCGCTGTCGTTGTCATTGCTCATATTTTCATTGTCACCTGTTTGTTGTTCTCTTCTCTTTCTCCATCGTGCTTCTTTTTTTAAACGCTGTTTATTCATACGATCAAAGGCGATAAAAGAAAAATGACCAAGCTCATCTAGAAAAGACAAGTCCGAAAGCGAAATCTTTGGACGAAAAGAATGAGATAATCTGAGAAATACCTAAGACTTGATATAAGACTTCACCAATAGATAGATATCCATCATTGTATATCATGACAGCCAAACCAACAGAGACTAGAAGGAAACAAACAAATCAAACAATATATTTTATCAAACGAAAAAGTCTGTCTTTTTCGTACCATCAATACTAGTTCCGCTACAAAATTTGTTCTTAGGAGCCATGTTCCAAAGGAATGCGTGAAATGATTCATTAGCATTTTGACTGGATCCATTGAGCACGTGTTGTAAGGCTTCTTCTACAAAACCGCCAAACACATAGAAGAAAAGTTATTATGAATATAAGGCACTTACTGGAGGCAAGATCGTCAAATACAGGTTTAATAGCTTCCATAACATATCTTGGTAAAGAGTGCTTTTGGTGGTCATACGTTACTCCTGTTTTCGAATAAAGATAGATATTTAACACACAATAAGAACAAATGACTTCAATCAAAAAGAGAGTCAAATGTCAAAAGTTATTTTGGACACACCTGTCAAAAGTGATTTTCGGTATCCGCACCAGTCTCCACACCACTCGTGGTCGGGTTCATCATTTGTTGATGCCTAAAAAGTTATCAGTACAGTAATTAGTGAATAACATTTCTATTTATTATAATATGCCCTCTTACTTTGTGTTTATAAATTGCCCATGTGCGCTTGTGCATCATATCTAGATCATCTTTGTATTCACGAATCACTTTGGCATAGTAAAATGTAAATTTTGTCATTAAACAAATTTTTATTCGGAACCTCTAGCGAGAGTCATTGTCATTTCAACTTTCAAACTCTATAAAAAAATGTACGCAAGCATCCCCAAGAGTATAAAACTTCACAATAAAATTTTATTTCCTGAATTAATTAGACGAGTGATAAGTATATGAGTGAGTTGCGGTGACATCTATGGATGGGGGACCATGATTACAACTTTGACTAGGTGTCTACTGCCAAAAACACTATAATATATCCATCTACGCACCATCTAATAAAGTTTGACGAATAATACGAAAATAGCAAGTAAAATAAGCAGACTTACTTTCATTGCTCAATCAAAAATCTTCTTTTTGGTTTTTCTCAAAATCAGTTTTTTCGACCATACCGTTTACGCGGGCAAACCTTACGCCATAACGATTCAACATAAAGTTGTCATTGTTGTTTTGTTATATAGGGGACATATTAGGCTAGATCCTAATAGAGCCGGATTTTTGAATTTGTCCTTTGTTTAAATAAAAAGTTAGATCTTTGCTTTTCGTTTGCGATTTTTCGCCACGAATTTGTGAACTTTTGGGAAATGTTTTTCTTTTAAAATTGAACAAAGGGAAATTAAAAAATCGAGCTCTATTAGGATCTAGCCCTAAATGTGCTCTACAATTTTAAAACCACCTCGACCTGTTTAGATGAAGTCTTGACCATGAAAACCTTGCCCGCGTAAAGGGTATTTTTTCCAGTGAATTGACCATAACTCGTGAATGCTTCGGAGATTTCGGGCGAAATTTTAACCCTAACCTACTCTAGCTTAGACTAACATTCCCTGAAAAATTTGTTGAATTTCATGAAAAAATAAAAAAGTTTGTCGATAAGGGGGGGTCCCCCTTAACAAAAGCTATCACAGAAGAAGTAAATACATAAGTTTTTTTTAAAATTATCTCTTCAGCTACTTCTTGAGTCCTATTAGAATTACATATATGCTACTTTAACTTAAAGCATTGTTCTGGTCACCAAATGTATTCTAATAGAGGCGCAGAGATAAAGCGTAGGCTCGAGTACAAGTCTCGAAGTCATGTATTAAATAGTAGTTTTGGTGACCAGATTCACAACTTTTGTCACTAAGTATTGATTTTTTTATTTGTCTACTATTTCTAGGTACCAAATACACAACTACTTGGATGTAATTTTCATTATTGTCAGGCTATATACAGAAATATTCAAAATAAAGGTTTGCAAGATGCATATCAAAATGTTGAAACAGTACGTCAAATTCTTCGTCATATTATGGCGTTAGCATTTATACCACATGATCAGATTTGCACAGTATATTATGACATTATTAAACCAGAATTAAACGATGTTCCAACTAAACCAGCATCTCTTCGTCAAAATTTACGTACTTTTCTCAAGTATTACGAATCACATTGGTTAACAAAAATTAATAAATTTTGTGTATTCGATCAACCAACACGAACCAATAACGGTTTAGAAGGTATATAGGGTGTCCAGAAAGTAACTATACAAAGAAATGTTTGAATATATATCTCCACCATATTTTGACCAAATGGGCTGATATTTTTACTACTGATAGTAGAGTATGCATAGTTCATATTTGTAAGGGAACAGTTGTCAAAAATTGCTTTAAAGTAGTACAACTAACTTCAACAAAAAACTATAACATTTTTCAAGTTATGAAAAAGCAATACTGCAGTTTTGTCAATGGCTGAAACTTTTACAGTGCACTGAGTGACAAGACATGTATCTGTAGTGTAAATATGAGGTCAAACGACGCTAGTATGAAGAAGAAACCAACAAAATAAGATGTCGTTAATTCTTGTCTAAGGAAATAACTACATTGGTTTTTCATAACTTGAAAAATATTATAGTTTTTTGTTGAAGTTAGTTGTACTACTTTAAAGCAATTTTTGACAACTGTTCCCTTACAAATATGAACTATGCATACTCTACTATCAGTAGTAAAAATATCAGCCCATTTGGTCAAAATATGGTGGAGATATGTATTCAAACATTTCTTTGTATAGTTACTTTCTGGACACCCTATATAGCATTTCGATTACACATTCGCTGCTTTTTAAAACAGTTACTTATATGAGATTAGTACAAGACTTCAACTATGAAAAGAGAATGCGGTCTTCAGATTACAGACAACTTTCAAAGGTCTCGATATTGAGAAAGGAAACTGTTATCTACAAGCCGATCAGTTAGTTTCTAACTGAGATAGCACTCACACATCTACTACACATGTGGTCACCAAACATCCTAGAAAAATTTTTCCTTCGATTGACATTAGTCGTTTGTGATTTCTATTCTTTGCTCAACCGTAGGTTACAACAACAAGATGAATTTTCAATTATCGGCTCATCCACATCTTTATCGTCTTATTCTATGGTTTGAAAAAGAAGAATTATTAGTACAGCAATTAGTATCAAAAGTTAATTCAGATCAACAAGTACATAAAAGAAAACAATCTGCAATAACAATTCTTATTAATGACTCATTACAAACATTATGGGATAGTTATAATGCTGGAAAACTTACTACGAAAGAATTGTTATTGGAATCGTCAAGATGGGCAGCAAAAAAAGCTTCATAAAAACAGAAACATCAAAAACGTGAAAATTTTGTTTTGTTTTTGTATAGAAATTTACGATTTGTTTTTCGTTTCGCTTTTAAACGATTGCTCATTTCCATACTCTTAATTTCTTTTCTTTGTGTGCAACTTTTCTTGTTTTTGAATGATCAGTCGTTTTTAATATTTATGAAAATTAAAAGTGTTTGCGTTGTAAATATAATTTATAATATACCTAGTCCATAGAAAAATAAGTAACTCACGGTCTTATAACAAAATCTTAACATCTGGTGATCAGAATATAACTAAAGCATACCTAAAGAGTGTGCAGGCAAAAGTAGTCTTCTCTTCACCATAAGAGATCTTGCTCATTTTTGAAATCTTGTTTCGTATTGATTGAGCTTGACTACTACTTTATGTTAGAAGAAACTATCGGATTTAGCTTTTCAATGAGTTTCAATAATTAAATAAAGTTGACAAGGTGGGAGGGCAAAAAGCAAGAGTGATATAGGCAAGGTCTGTAGTATATTTTAACTCTAGTGACCAGATCAACCAGTAAGAACATACAGCATTTGAGACAGATTTATGTCATAAAACTGAAGAGTCATAGGTATCCACGTAGAATGATAATGAATTAAGTTATCTATAGTAAATGTAATAAAACATCCCTAAATCAAAAAGTCCCTAAATTTGAGTCCCTATTTGGTCACCAAAATTTATTCAATTATTCAGTTGTCCACAAATGAGGACCTGATGTAGGGACCAATTCTGGAAACCACAATTTGTGGCAAATGATAACCTACCAAAACAATCGATGTGAAGCTACCACAACACGATCTTCGAGCACGACCAGTAGAATATTATGACACGTCAAAATGAAAACCAATCAGAAAGCGATAAATAAAAAAAATACCACTATGAAGGAGAAACCCATGGACATGGTACTCCATAGTAACCGTAGCATATATATCAGAGATGTGCACCGCGCCTCAAAAACGAGGCGGAGGCGGCGCGGAAAGGAGGCGGAAGTCCCAAAATCGTGGTAGAGGCGGTCACCGCTAGAGAGCTTTTTGGCGGAGGCGGCGCGGAAAGGAGGCGGAAGTCCCAAAATCGTGGTAGAGGCGGTCACCGCTAGAGAGCTTTTTGGCGGAGGCGGCGCGGCCGCCTGTGCTTTCTTTTTCAACGAGGTGCGGAGCGGCGCGGTCGCCAGGCGGCCGCCTGGCGGTCCGCCTGATAAGAACTGGAGAAATCCATTATACCAATTTTTTCCAAACTTATTGCACTATAGTACTGCTCAACACATAACTGGCCACTTATTAACATTCAAATATGAACGACAACGTAAAATTGAAGGGACCATGAAAGGATGTACTGTTTAACAAGATTTAACTAGACATGTACGTATTGATATAGCATTATTTTTCGTGTTAATTTATTTTACACTTGAGTTGCACAAATTCAAGTTTAGAATAACTTTAAAAACTATTGGGTTGGTGGAATGAAAATTGGACACTTGAATATTTTTTTAAAATTTATTTATTTAATAAATAAATAATATTAGTCAATTATATAATCACCATCATTATCTACTACTGCTTGCCAACGCGTAGGCAAAGCATGAAT